AGCCTCCACCGGGATTGAGAATCTCAGGTATGCGGATGGCTCCATCCTGTTCGAGGATTCGCGCCTGCAGGGTGCGAACAGGATCACGTCCATGGAGATCGATCCCGTGCCTCGGGCCCCTTCAAGCACGAGCCGTGAAGTCTGAAGTGGCAAAGGGAGTCACCACAGGGACAGAGCTCAGCTTTCCAAGATCGTGCGCGTGAGCTCACTGTGAGTTGCCCAAGCCTAAACCCCAAACTCGAAACCAGCCACTCATAAAAGCAACAAGCGAGGTACACGCGTGCATCGCACGGCATGTGCTGGACATGAGCCGCCTCTCGCACGTCGTCGAGGCAACGCTCCGGCACGACGAAGAGTGTGGGTTCTGTTTGAATGAAGGGGTTCTGTATGGTCTTATGGCAGTTTCGTATTTGTGTAATGCGGTGGACCCAGCGTCGGATGTTTACGAGGCCTGCGAGCCCGTACATGCCCCGAACCGTTTGATCTCCAGCACATCATGAATTATCCCTGAACTCGAATCCTAAGCAAATCCTTCTGTTGGCCACAGGTGTGGATTGGTCAAGTTAAAGACCTGATCCCGCGCTTGACAGAGGAGACGCCTGGATCGCTTTCAGGTTGATCCTTTCAGGCTTCCGACAGGCTTGCAAACTAGAGCAGTGACGAAACCGCTGACTAGCACTGCTCGTCAACATCTTACGCACGGCGACTTCGACTTCTGCTGCTGACAGTGCTCGACCTAGAGTTACTGCACCAGCACAAACCATAAACAACACATTACCGCCGCTGGTAATTACTTGCCGGTCCTTATGTTTGAACTGACACTGTCTTCTAAGTGCGACAGCTTCACGCAGCAGGAGGAACAGCATCAGGAACAACGACCAGAGAATGAATTCAGTTCAATGACTGTTAGGTGAACCTGAATCCTAGTCGCCTCACCGCACGGGGGTATTATCAACAAATGTAAATTAGAACTGCGGCAGGATGGGTGCTCTTGCCGAAAGCACTCGAAAAAGAATAGCCATTTAGCGTAAGGGAGCCAGTACTGTATGGTGAACCGGAGCCCTAGCTTCAAGTCTCAGGCCCATCTCCTGCCACTCCTGTCCGGTTGAAGTTCTTCGTAGCCCCAAGGGTATCCTTTAAGGGGTATTATAGGGTTCCTTAAAATGGTTTAGGGGTTGCCAAAGGGGTGAATCCCCGAATGGTGGCCAGAAGCTGCAAACCTATCAGCCAGGAGCATGGGGACATGAGCTTGAACATGGTTTTCATGGACCAGAGAGGCACCACCTTCCACGACGACCTTTCGCAACTAGAGGACTGCTTGGAGAAACGGGCTTGTAGGGGATTTATAGAGTTTAGGGATCTCATCCGCATTCCTCATGTGCTGTATCCGATGATGTGACAAGCTGCTTCTGCCGCAATAGCTTGGGAGTTTCCGAAAATGACGGCCGGACCTCAAGGTAAAGGATCTTGCAAAGCATACAGCAGCCCTCCTTGCAAGGACACGCCCCATTATCTGAGGCACCGAAAGCTTCGGTGAATCAGCTTCCAAAGCTGGTTCAGGGTTCAGGGTTCATAAATCAGAGGCCTGAGTAGCTGGAAATAATGACCCTACAATGATCAAGTTCAGGAGGGTTTCTGTGTTTATTGTAGTTTAGCTGTATTCAGCAACCCGAGCTCCAATCACTGATCACTCTGCTTCTTTCCTTCCGTCCCTTGTTTCCGAGAGTAGCGGCAGTTCAGCCAGGAGCTCAACCTCATGTTCCCCAACTGCCGACCGCTGCCAGCAATCAGATGGATAGGAGAAGGGGTGGATTCAATGAATGGTGGATTTAATGGATGAAATGAGCCTCAACAGCCATTCGCAATGCTATGAGGTGTTGTGTATGGCTATGTGATGCAGCGCTTGTCTGCCAGGATAGCTAGCTTAGCATGTAAGTTTTATGGCGGCGCAACTGTTTGCGTTGGTGCTATCGCGGTCGCGATTATGCTTAGTGTGACTGTTGCTAGGCATTGTGAGCATCAGTCATACTGCCCTTGATAGGGATGATGCTCTTACTGTTGTTAGATGTCGTTTCTGCACTGGGATTTCTACCATGGCTAGCCACTCCCAAACGAACATATGCACTTCCGCTTCTGTGATTGTCACGCCGATTCTTATAAGCATGGTCACGGCTATATATTAAGTAATCCAGCTTAGAGGTCAAGCCTCACCCCCTGAGCAATCCAGGGTTCGGTGCCCCCACACTGTTCGCATTCATCCACGTCGCTGTCTTGAGCTCGCTTGGCCTGTCTTCGGTGCAAGAGGGCCGAAGCGTCCTCCCAAGGAATCGTGGCAGACAACTGTGTCAAGCCAGGGTCGCCTGTGTACTGCTGGCACACCACAGCCACTTGGCAGATGGATTGAGTTGGGGGTCTATATAAAAATATAAAATATTGTATACCTATACATTATATCATATTATATATCATATAATATATCATATATATATATATAAACCCTACTACTGCTGAACCGTCTTTCAACAGCGCTTCCTCCTTGTAACGGAAGGCCTTGGACCACTCGTCAAAGCGACATACCAACAGCCACCTCGGTGGTTGGGTGATGTTCTGGGCAGTTCTACATCGAGGGTTGCCATGGAGGCACTCGGTTGGAGGGGCGACATCCCAAGGTCAGCGAGCGGTACAAGACCACGAACTACAGCCTCAACGAGTTCTTGGAGTCGACGATTGAGGATTGGCAGGCCTTGAGTTGATCGGCTCAGGGTGGTCTTGCTGGGCCCTGATAGAAGGTACCAGGTACCCTTCAATGAAAGCTCTAGCTCACATGCCGCAAGGATTCCCTGCATCGAATTCTCAAAGCCTGAAGCCGTACAGATCCGTAGCCTTCATCCGGAAAGCCCAAGAAGCCCTAGTCAGAGGAACAGGAAAAGTTGTGCTAACCTCTTCTGCAGCAGAGGTGGTCTGTGACTACCTCGGACCCCTCGCGGGCCGCCAGCAGGCCGAGCGTGAAGCCCTGGCGCACCAAGGCGATGCAGCGCTCATGTTTTGAGGCTTCAGGGCTCAGTTCCTCTTGTTTTGGGGACCATTTGCTGTGTTATTCTATTCTATACTATTGACCATATACTACAAGATGAATATGTGCTATGTTAATTTCCACATAAGAGATACATATACACATACATGTATACATGCGTGTATATTTAGAACTACATACCTATGAACAGGCACACAGACACAGACATCTCTCTCTCTCTCTCTCTCTCGCTTGCGCTTATTCTCTCTTATACGGTACTTGTAGCAATGGAAGCTGGCGGTCGTGATATTTCTTTGACAGGAGAAGAGGCTTTTCGGGTCTGTGCCTGCTTTTGGGCTTTGCTGCCTCGCCAAGGAGCCTTTTTGAAGACAAGGGTGAGAGGGTGGTGACGATGAAGACTGTGTTGATGAGTTGAGAAGAGTAGGATCCCTTTGTAGTCCCTGCATGAACTCAGCATATGTGCCCTAGACCCTGCTTTAGTGCGATTCAGATTCGTTCTCGGACTGTGGAGCAATCACCGTATGGATGCTGCTGGCGATTCGGTCGTAGTCGTCGGATTGTGTTGCAAGCCTTTTCCCTCAATCTCAATCTCAATCTCAATCTCAATCTCTCTCTCTCTCTCTCTCTCAATCTCAATCTCTCTCTCTCTCTCTCTCTCTCTCTCTCTCTTTCAACAATCCTAGTCAGCAAGAGTTCGGATCGAAAGACTACTTGCGTTCTGACGTAGATGCAGATTCCTTCAGAGCCATTTTAGACGAGAACCATATCAGACGAGAGCCATCAGAGTGTGGTGTTTCGCAGGAGGGCTTGGAAGCCACGAAGCTCCAAGGGGAACCCTAAGTTCCGAGGTGAGGGCGACTGGCGGGCCTACCCAATCCGAGACCTTTCTTGATGGCCTGCGGATGTGTCCTAAAACAGGACGAACATCGGGGCCAGGGTCGCTTCGAAGGCGGAGGTGATGGCGATGAAGATGGCTAGCGATGGTGCTTCGTGAGTGATCACTGAAAGCACTATGGCTGAGGCTTTGGCAGAGGTGAAAGTCCCTAGGATTCGGAGCTGGGGCCAAAGTCCGCCCACTCTGCGAGAAACCAGGGGCATGCTACGAGCGAACTTCGTCCGACATGGTGCGTAAGATGTATGCTTGGAGAAATGGGCGTGTCATTTTTTATATTCCAGAATATTTCGGTATTTCAGCTTAGATTAACTCAGACTACTGCAAGCTATATTATATTTGATTGGACGATAAAATGGATCCCGAGGTCAGGTCAGCCTGAGACCAAATGCTGTCGACAACTTGCTGTAGATGGTTCCATTCAATCGAGGTGTGGGTAAAACGCTACTTCACGCATCCTTTTGCCCAACACTAGGAGGCAGTACCACACACGGAATTTTTGTGGCGCAGGGCATGCACGAGCGACGTAGGTTTAGCATATCAGCAGCACAACGCTGCAAGCTATGCCCATAACAACGCTAATAATGCTAGTATTGAGACGCTAGATTCGGAAGTTTGATCGGCGTTCACATGTACCAACGATATTGGCAAGCCTGTGTGAAGTACATTGCAGCGACTTCCATCAAGGCAGGGCGTGTGACGCGTATTGAGATGTCATGCTTCGCCCGTTTGCTCCTCGAACGCATCCAGCCTAAGCCCAGCATGGGCCGTTGATCCCAGATGCTCACCCCGGAACAATCTGAATCAGCATGTGATGGCCAAACCTAGCCACAGGGAGCTGAGACATCCCTTTGTGGAAGGGCGGATCAAGACCAGACGGGTTCAGCCATTCGGGGTTCCTGAAAACCCAGACCCCCATGCCCTTGAAGACCCCCCCCCCTCCACCGGACCCCGAAGCCTCCTTGGGTTTCCTACCCCAAAGCCTTCGACCCCTAGACTCTCAGCCTTTATCCCTACACCCTGAAAGCCTAAGTCCCAGAAGAGCCAGCCGCGGCGCCATCCCGTGGGAGAGCCATGGGGGTGAGTAGCAGCGGCTGCAGCTTCTGCCAAGCTTTCACGGCCCCTCAGACGGAGGCCGACACCAAGGTCTTGTTGGGAGTTCAAGGAAGGCTTTACTCTAGAGTCTATAGAGGCCTTAATGAGTACCTATACCATTTTAAGGAAGTATACTGGGACCCCAAACCCTACTACTCTCATCATTAAGGCCCCTTTTATTCGGACTTCAGGGCTGAAGAGGGGTGCGGTGTCCTAGGAGACGGGGAAACGGGACGACGCGGAGGGTTGGGGATGGTTGTTGGGGGGCTCTCCTCTTTCTGGCAATCCCGTCGAAGAGGCCGGCTCCCTATGGCAGGGTCTTCTTCGAATTGAGGGCAGCAGGTTTCCAGCATAGTGTATATCATAGTATGTCATATATGAGCTATCATTCTAAGCAACGCTCGGTTGTTCCCCTCAGGTTATTGTTTAGGGAAGCCCTCAAAGCCTTGAGCTCTCCGCGCTCCCACGGAACCCTCCGCGCCCCTCCCCATCTTGCGGCCACTAAGCCCTTAATTTTCAACGGAAAGCCCAACCAAGAAAAAAACACCCACAGTTGCTGACACCCTCAGATCTCACAACAAAACCCAACCCCCCAATCTAAACGAGCCTGAGTCTAAGCCCTAGATTCATCCTCGAAGCGCGAGCCAGGTCCCGCAGGGGACGCCGTGCACGGAGTATGGGACTGAGATCCTTCCGCCCTCCGAAGCCGAGGTGGGCGCATACCAGGTTTTTTGGCTTTTTGGGGCCTTCAGGGACTTGAAGGGCATTTCGGGCTTCTAAGGTTTAAGGGCTAAGTTTGAAGGTTCAGGATCTGAGGATTTCACCGTTGCAGCTGTCGCTACTGCAGGTTGTGTTTGCCATTGTGTTGCCATCACTGGCATTGTCGGTATCCTCACCCGAAACTTTCACAATCATCATCGCCATCGTCGTAGCCAGCCATAGTCACCACATGTTTCACCTTGACTTTGTAACATCAACATCTTCTTAAAATCTCCATCATCATACTATCATCTTGCCTCTTACATATACTGTTTGCAGCAGGTATCGTCATTGTCTCTTTTCGTCAGTCTGTCATGAACTCCCATCGCTCGTTCGTTCGTTCGTAATCTGTTCTCTGTTTGTTCGATGTCATTCATGTCTTTCTTGATTTATTTCTGGCTTTCGTTCGTTCGTTAGTTCGCTTGCTGGCCCGTTGTTGTTTTAGTTTATTTGTTGATTATTTACACAAAACGGTGTCATGTCTTTCGTTGATTAGTTCTTGAGTTCGCTCTGTGGCGTTGGTTCGTTCCTTCCTTAATGAGGTCCATCCATTCGTCCATTCGTTTATGGATTTCTTCGCTCCTTCCCTAAATCCCACTCCTCAAACGCTAAAGCCTATATCCTAACCGAACGGGCAAAAGGAAAACAGGAAAAAACAAAAAACAAAAAAACCTATATCCTAAACCCCCCTTTCCTCCCTCCTGCTCTCCGAGCCCCAATGGAAGCTGCAGGTGCGGTTGGAACGCAAACGAGGGGATGGCAGCAGCTTCGGCTGGCATTCCTATTAAACCATAAACCCTAAAACCCTAAACCCCTAAGAGCCCTAAACCCTTGAGAACCCTTAAGGGGCAGTCTTGGGATCTACAACTGCAGGATTTAACACTTGGAGCGATCCTTCCTATCGGGTCTGCCCTTTCTTGCAAGAGCCTGTTCCAGTAGGCGAGCGTTGAGCCAAGCAGCGAGACAAGTAGCGCAAGTTCGATCGACTAATTCCACATCGATACGTCAACCCCGAATCCCGACGCCCGACAGACCCGCACCCAAAGGCGCAAAAAAGCCTTGGAGCCCTGACAAGGTGCCTCAAACGAAAGCTTCCACCCCTAAAGGCCCGAACCCCGAAGCTGACGGCACCGACTTGCTCCAAGGAAAGGGCAACAAGGCCCGTGTCGGGAATGCGGGGGCGGAGGAGCAGGGCGAGATCCATCTGGCCTCGCACAAGGCGGGAGCCAGGTTGAGGATATTCGGTTTAGGGTTGAGGGCTGGCGTTGCAGTGGTTTTTTCAGTGTAGGGTTGAGGGTTTCATCCGAACCACATGAGGGATCCCACCGTGCTACAGAACCTAAGACCTACGCAGCCCAGCAAGCTCAGTGCGCAGGCCCAGCGGACGCTGACTGCAAATGTTCGGAGCGTCCTTAGGGAAGCCATGCCTCTCGGCAGACTCTTACTAGGGTTTATAGGGTTGATGGATTCGGGTTTGGGAGCTAGCTCTCCCAACCCTAAGCCCGAACGGACTCAGAATCACGAAGCCCGCAGCGGTGCGGGGTGCTCCTGGCAGAGGCCAAGGCTGAGAGCTAGGCAGAGCTGAAGCCCCGCACCGCCTCAAACCCGAAAGGCCATTAGCTACCGAAAAACTACGCCGGCCAGCTCCCCATCCAAAACCTTAACCAACAACAGCTCCACAAGACCTGTTCCAAGAGAGCCCAACTCTGTCTATTTCTTGACTAAGGGTTTGTTGGGCCCTCTCGAAAGTCAGAGGTGTAGCTCAATCAATTGGAGTTCTCGAGCTTCGAGGTATATAAACTCAAACCAGAAGCTGAAGTTGCTGGGCGGAAAAGGAGCAACTGGTAGTGACGACGCTCTCGGACAGGTAGCAAGACTGATATCGGTGACCATGATCACTCGAAGATAAACCCTATGTCTAAAGTACAAAACCGTGAATCCGGACAGTCCCAAAGCCCTGAAGCCTAAGTCCCGGAGAGAAAGCAAGGAAGTTGGATCGGGTTTGCGCCGTCCTTGGCGACAAGGAGGCTGAGGCGTTGGTGTGCAGATTTGTTTGTAAAGCTCCATGAGAAGCAACTTATGCCGAGAATCATGCCCTTGTAGTTATCCCGAAAGGAGCTCTAGGGCGATAAAGCCTTTAGGCAGTCTCAAGCACAGTATCCCAGGTCCGTAAACCCTTTACCTTTTTTTGGGCGGGGCTCTTGCACAAGAGTTAGGTGGGTCTAGTTTCGTTGTCGGGGGGGGATGTTGCAGGGCCGAACTGTGCCGAGTCAAGGTCTTCAGGCGTGCTTCCTCTGACTTTGCCCCTGTGGGGTTTGATTTGATTCGGGTTTTGAGGGCAGCCCTAAACTCGAAGTTTCTTTGGCTCGGGTGTTCGGGGGCAGCGTTCAACCCTAATTTCCTTAGCTTCGGGTTTTGGGTCAGTGCCGGGTTCTGAGTACTCTTGACACTGCGAGGCGATCCTTTCAGCTATGGAGTTCTTCGAGTTCCTGCCCGGCGAGGCACGCGGAGGACTAGGGCCCGAAGTTTGCTTGTTGCAGGTTCTTGGCACGGTGTCCAGGCGCAATGTCACCTCTAGAATCAAGCAAGCTGCCTGCTGCCCGCCACAGCTGCTGCTGCTACTTGAACTCAACATGCTGTGTATGTGAGCAAGTATGTCTGTCCGTACGTACGTACCTGGGTACTTAGGTAGGTAATGATGTACGTATGTAGGGCTCGTCGTTGGGTAGTCGTCGTCAGCATGGGCAGTCGTAGCGGCAGCAGCTGCGTCGTCGCAGTCGTCAATGTCGTCGTCGTCGTCGTCGTCGTCGTCGTCGCGGGACTTGAGTATGGTTGCCCGCTGTGGATACCAACGACAACAGCCATTCATCCTGAAACCAAGACGCATCTCTTCTAGTTCGATTGGACTTTATTTATCTGTCATGACCATCTTCTTCTTCACTACCACTCATCAACAACAGCACCATCGCCATCACCGCAGCAGCGGCAGCAGCAGCGGCAGCTGCCGTGATGATGTAGCTGCAGTCCAGGCTGTGGTGGAGCAGGGAACTACCGGGAACACCTTCTTCATCGCTCAGACTGGCTCGCTGCAGGCAGGTTCGTAGCTGAAGGTCGTTCTGCTCGTGAAGTTGACTCCTGCATGGTGGATGCTTGGGCATGGCTGCTACCTGCTGGCCAAGAATGCAGTGCTTGCTATATATCTGCTTCAAGGTAGAAGGCCTTGTAGTACACTCTCCGGCACAGGTGAGCGTCAATGGCAACGTTTGCAACACCGTCTCCGAAGGCGATTGGACCTGTCCATTGTTTGGTGTCTGTTCAGCTGCATTGGTCGAGTTTTCTTCGGGTTGCTTGACGGTGCATCGAGGACCGAAGACCCACCAGCTGGGGATGTTTACTGTAGTTTCTGTGTTTTGCACCAGCCCAGCTCCAGCAGCTTGCATCACTTCACAGGCCAAGCCTTCGGGAGTTTGGCACTGTTGTACAACTGCCCGCGGACGGCCACAGTCAAGGTGCCCCAAGGGACGCAAGTCTGTGTCGCCTCGATCCCTAGGTTCCAAGGTATGGGGATGCGAGGCGCTGGTTCTCGCCGTTGTTGCGAGGCAGAGAGCGTTGTGGGGCCCAGGGTCTCAGCTTGCAAGCTACAGAAATTCGATGTGCCCTGCGGCCGTGCGCTATGCAGGCCGTGACGAGATGCGGTGTCTGGGGCGCAAACGGCGCCGCTGTCCATGCCGCCCTGAGGGAGAATGCCCACACGCAGCTGGGATGAGGAGATGCTCAAAATTTCAGAAGCTGCTGAGGATGGAAAAAAAGGCATAACTTCAAGATCCATCATTATATACACTACAAAGGCTCATGCCGCAGGATTTTGCAACGGCTTTGCTGTCCATAGCCCACGCAGATGGGAAGAGAACTGTCCTGAACCCCTTCTTGGGATTGCAGGCTGGACATGCCTTGGCCTCATGAGTTGATCGCATGATTGCTGCCAAAGCTGCGGCCCAGGCACCAGAAGGACTACAGAGAATTTCTGGCCCCCTGGCATATGAAAAATAAATCTCCTGGGTTCTGGCAGAGTGGGGCCGGAGGGCCAGGTGGCTCCCAAATGCGCATTGCTAGTAATTTCAAAGTTGCGACTATTGGTATGGCTGCTGCCGCTACTATGAGGGTCATCATTGCTGGCTGTCATTATTTGCGTACTTTCGTTCTGTGCTAATCCTTGCGAGTTTGGCTATTTGGGTTGCTGTCGGCTTGCTCAGCTCAATGCGAACCTTGAACCCCCTAAACTCAAACACTCCTTATCCCCTCAAACCCGGAACCCCAAACCCCAAACTCTAAAGCCCAAGATCAGTACCCTAAACCCTAAACCCTAAACCGCTGAACAAGGATTCCATTCGGCTCTTCGACGGGCTGACTGACAGTCAAAAGGAGACATGAGGGCTTTCGGGCGTCCTTTCAGGGATTCCTCGGCTTTTTCTTCCTTAAAGAAGGTGGGGGGCTGAGTTTGGATTCTGGCTTTGGGTTTTGGGGTTTTGGGTTTGGCTGTTTTGGATTTTGGGGCTTTTTGGAGTTTAGGGATAGGATCTCGAGAGCGTCCTGAAAGCAATGTAATCCGGAAGCCAACCGAGATCCCCACCACCGGCCGGTGGATCTCGAGAGCCTAAACGTGTTTCAATGCCAGTTTCCCACACCACAAACCAAGCCCGAGGCATGAAACTAGAGATCCTCTATGTTAGGGCCCTGGGTTTCGGGCTCAGGGTTTAGAACTTGGGGTTTAGGGTGTTAGGGCCGGGGGGGTCAGGGTTTCAGCTTCCCTATATGTAAAACCTGCTCGAGCCGTAATCCCGCAATCCCTACGTACTGTGCGTTCCCAAAACGCCTCCGGGCCCTTCACTCCACTTCCCCATCATTTGCTGAACACTAATCCAACCTTCATTCCATGAACCGGAAGTCCGTAACCCTGAACCCTAAACCCCAAACCCCTAAACCCTAAACCCAAAACCCTAAACCCTAAGCCCTAAACCCAAAACCCCTAAACCCAAAACCCCTAAACCCTAACTCCTTCCCGCCGGACCGAAAGTCCGGCTCAGCCAGGAGAAAGCCGCCGAGTCGGCGTTCAAAGAGGTTTTCGAGACTGGCGCCAGACTGGTGCCTCGGCCTGGGTCGGGTTTGGAATTTTGTTCTGGATTTTCGGGGTTCTGAAGGGCCCGGGCTTAGGGGTTTGGGACTTCGGGTTCAGAGGTCCGGAGGGTAGGAGGTATCTGGTCTAGCAGCTCTCGCACCCGCACCAGGACCATGACAACGGTATCAATGCTATCGGAGTTCTGACATCAGCCTTGCTCGAGGCCACCATAGCAGACTACTTCATTCAAAAAGGCTTTTTCTATCCTTACTGCTGTCATCGTTGTTGTTCATTATCACCATCATAATTATTGTTATTGTTATGCCAAGTGTTGTTTACAAGTGTTTGTTTGTTTGTATCATATTACTAGTGTGAGCACTACTTTTGTTACCATTACACTTACCTTTTATTGGATGGCGATTGCGATTGCCGGCCGTTTTGATGCACAATCTGCAGAAGGAATACTCGCCGAGCCATGGTGTGTTGATATTCTTCAGTTGCTTGTCGAGAAGTACTGGCTTACCTGTTGATGACTTGCGCCATCCTGATATGTCCTTGTACGACACTCTCTAAACCCGCAGCCTTCGTGGCAGATCTGGCTGGCCTTTCATGAGTGTTCGCCTGCAGATACCTACCCGACTGAGTTACCTGGGTGTGGGCAAGTGCTCAGATCCCTAAGCCCCGAAATCCACAAAGACGACCTGCCACCGGGCTTTTCTCTCGCGCTCACTTGAAGAAGATCGAGTGTCTGGTCGCCGCTGAGTGGAACAATCCCACCTGGCCTGAAAAGTTTGCAGCTTGAGTCGGCCGACGCTTCAAGCGCAATCATTTGCACCCGGGACTCTTCCAAATTACATGTGACCCATGGCAGGGTCCTCATGGTGGTAGGCTATTGCACGAGGTACCCGTAGGAGAACCGTTTCTTCAGAACAGCCCGCATCTGCAAAACGTTCTCTGTCTGGGGCTCGGTTGCTAGGTCACCGCCGGTGAAGACTTTGCTGCAATCTACTTCGTCAAGAAGGGCGAACTTCGCGTGATGCGAGGCCTGGCCCTGCAATCTTAGTAGCTCCCGACATACCTGGGAGACTGTTCACAAGCAGTCGCAAAAGAAACAGGCTTATCTCGGGTAGGGGTTGTAGAAACAGTCATACGAAGCCGAGCGGGAATACGACTGTCCCATGTTGTGCTACCTCCGAATCAGCGCGAGGTGGTAAAGTCATGACCGACGGCACTTTCGTGGACGGCCAGGCGGCAAGACTTTTTGCTGGGATCCCTGCTGTGAACGGAAGTAGAACCGGTGTCGGTGACTTTATGGTTCTGGCACCTTCAGATCCAGTCCGATGTGGGGACCTTCTGTTCTGTTAGTTGGGTTCGCCATAATCGGAGGTGCGCCCATGCTGGCTTCAAGGGTTCGATACCCCAGCTTGGTGCGCGTATCCTAGATGAGAGCCAGCCTTGTGAGCAGGGCAAGATGCAACATGCCTTGAGGCCTTAAGAGTCACCGGAATCGACGGCGATGTTCAGCTGTCACGCCCAAGGCCCCCTTTCCCGGATCCGCGAGACGACAGGTTCTTGCAACGCTGGGTCCTGGTACCTCCCTTGGGGAAGCACTGCTCTCTGGTGCCCTGTACTCACAGCCTTCTTGCGTCTTTGGACTTCTGCAACAGGGGCAGAGCGTCGGTGGTGAGCAGTCAGGGGAGTTGTGAGATGCTGCGCAGCGAGTAATGTGATGTACGGGCTTCCATAATTGCCAACATCATTCCTTGGGGCTCCTTACCATATTGTATTGTACTTATCAGAAGTACAATACAACTTCAATAAGTTCTAGTTTTCTCTGGCCCCTTGTTTTACTCATCGTTCCTTTCCCCTGAAGGGCCGGCCCATCTTAAGCCTCTGCGGAAGCTCTTCCTGGAGTCTCTCTCTTACAGGGGGATGTACGTATTTCCACTCAACAGTTGTGGGCTCTTCATGTACCTGGCAAGGTGGTTACCAACTCTCTGACTGAAGCAAAACCTCTTGAATAGCTTCCGACATGCAACGGGCACAGGCTGTTGGCTTCGGTGCTACAGTACTGCCCAGCAGGCTATCGTAAAAGGCGTTGAGAGCCTAGGACGCTCAATGTGCCCCTTGCTGGCATTTGCCGGCACAAGTGTGCGCCCAGAAGAAGTCGTGGAAACTTGTAACCACTGTCGCGCGACTTGTGTCTACTGCAGCATGGTTTAACATACTACTTCTTATGGTACCCTTATGGGGTCATGGACACGGTTCTTTAGGGTTCTGCATCTCGCCTTGCCTTCAGGCATGCCAGCACGAGGTCTTCGTGGTGTAATTGCCCTCACGGCCCCCAGTTTTCCAGAAGCCTTTAGAGTCTTAGAGTAAAGTACAAAAGGATCCCTGAACCTCAACTCTCTGCATTTCTTTCCTCCCCGAGGTGTTAACGCCCGGTGGGAGAACACCGTGGTTGCCTCCAGCAGCTCAGAGGTGCCCCCTACGCAAGCCTTCTATGTAGCACTGATTTCCAGCTGAGAGTCCGGGATGTAGGGATTGGGCTTCTAAGGATTCTAAGGCTAAGTCACGTGGGGTTGAGGGCGCTTTCCCACGCCTTCATCCGTAAATCTGTAACCCCCTAGCTCCTAAAACCCCTAAACCCTACAATTTTATGCCATCCTAGACCCCAAAGCCCTGTCAAGTCCCTTCAGCTTCCCCCCCTTTCTCAGGTCCTACGAAACCCCAAACCCCGCCAGCCCTAAGTGTTGTATCCTTCTCCTGAGGTCCTTTGCATTTCGGTGCCGGAGCTTAAGAGTCTTCTGGGGGAAGATCTGGGTCGCGTCTTAGAGAACGGCCTGGTCCTGAAGGCGATGCAGGCACCAGAGATTCCCGTGATTGCACCAGGCAGTTCTGGGTTTTGGGGGTTACATACTGCATATATATATATATATATATAATTAGAATTAAGTACATAGATATGATACACAGATGAACTAATTAAGTACATAGATATGATACACAGATGAACTGTATATCAGATTGCAGTATATCGCATAGATTTGTCGGAGACAGCTGCGGAGACTTGCGATCGAAGCCCTTCATGGTAGCCCTGCTTGTAGCAACCCTTGAGGGAACCAATCTCTGGCTCCCACACCCTGGCTTCCTGCAGGAAAGTGCAGTGCTCTCCCAGTTCTCCTCTGGCCAGCGCAGCGAGATCTCAAAGTGGATCACGGTGCGGACATACGCGGTCGGTGCCAAGGCGGGCGGTTTCGGTTTCTTTGAGCATTCTCTCCAACCCCGAGCCTGAACTTGAATGAGAGCCTGAGTTCAGATTTGTGGATTTGGCGCGATGCTTCGGTACAAGATCCTCGGCCTGGGTTCCACGCACAGCGATTCGGAAATCGAGTAAAACCCCGACAAAGTCATTTAAAACTAGTCGAGAGTGTTCGAATCCGGATCACGATGGAAGAGATGCCAGGTTGAAGACCATGCAGGCTTCCTGGTTGTCGTCAAAGGCGCGGTACAAGTACACCAGGAATGGGGGGTTGCTCCTTGACGGGCCGACTGAAGAAGGGATGGAGGTACTGATAAGTTGCTTGAGTCAGTGCTCGCAGTAGCATGGGGTGTTGCTGGCAAGACATCGCTGGACCTCATTGGAAGGGTAACATGCAGTGTTGCTGTCAGACTCGATTGCGGATGCAACAGCGCCCTGAGCGGTTCAAAGAGCATTACTTGTTCGATTGGCTGGCTGTTCGCTCAACTATTGGGCTATAACAGCTTCTGAGGGAGGAATCTTCACAACGATGTGGCTTTTGTGATGAGTTTCTGTGCGGCTAGAAGATGGAAGTGTAACAGGCTCTACACCCCAAGCTCTTAGCATTTAGTTTAATTCCCTTTGCCAGCCCCTTTGTTGAGCCCACTGGCCGATGGTTCCCAGGTAGTACTAGGGTCCCGCTAATCCTAACTCCGACGTCTTCGACGGAGCTGCGGTAGCCCTGTGTCTCCGACGTCACGGATAGATAGCAGTTCCAGCGTTGTCTTTTTTGGGGGGCGGGTCGTTCTCCAAATTTGGGTCCATTTGAAGGGTGCTGCATTATCTGGGGGACCGAAACAAGGGACCCTAACCTAGAGAACCACCCAGAGACTCCCATATCCCTGAATTAAGGAAGATACCTTCAATTCTAGTAGGACCCCTAATGTGATTTAAGGTATATTCCTTAATGAAGGGATATTGGAGTCTCTGGGCACCCACAGAGCTTCCACACATATGATTGAGCAGCGAAGCGAAGGCATATGATGTCTGAACCCCAAAGGGGCCCGAAAGCTCGGAACTCCGAAGCTGTGTTCTGCCTGTTTTGCCCTGGACCGAAGGCCAAATCAAAGGAAAGTGGCAAGGCCTGTGTACGGGCCTGTCTGTGAGCATCTGCCCGACTCCTGAATCAACAGGGAGGAAGGGCTGAGACACCTGGTAACCACTTGGAGGAGAGATGTGTGGATTTAGGGCCTAGGGTTAATACAGGGGCCTTTTTCATTAGAATTGTGTTTTTGGGGCCCATTACACTATAAGTATAAGGAATAGTATAGGTAATTATTCAGGCCCCTATATTAGTCCCTTTTGAGGCCCAAGGGCTGATTCATCGGACTACTCGTTCCTTGGCACCGCCAAGCCATCAAAAGCCTTTCCAGCTTAAATCCTGGACTCCAAGGGGCAGTTATAAGTACGGGTCCCTTAATATGGGTCTTAAGTTATAAGTATAGTTACCCTACGTATCACCCGACTTATACATCCTCTCCTGGCAGGCGAATCGAAGACACTGGAGCAGGGAGACTGGCTAGAGGCTCCCGGTGCAAGGGAATGCAGCAGCGCAGTGCGTGGGTGTGTGCTGGAATACAGGGGCCGAACCTGTAGCGTTTGGGGCTTAGGGTTTAAAACCCCCGGCTCCCAGAAACCCTGAAATCAAAAGCTGTCAGCTTGGCTTGGTCAAATATAGGGGCTTTTCTTTGCCTATACTGTTTTGGGGGTGCCTTATTACAATTATAGTATAATAGGCCCCAACACCTTATTCTAATTATTTAGGCCCCTGTATCAGGATGGCGGCATCCTCGAACGCTCCGAATTGAAAAGCGACCTCCAGGCCAGGCCGCAATGCAGTGCGGCCTGTATGCAAGTACGATGTGGGTGGTTGTCAAAATTATGGTCCCTTTTTATGGGTACCCTAAAAATAAAGGTGCAATAATATAATAAGGACCCAAAAGGGGACCCTAATCTTGACAACCCTCCATGTGGTACTCCCGTTGGGAGTGAAGGATAAGAGTAGATGCTTAGATCGCTGTTCCCTCGTGGCACGGTGCAGGGCTGACACTAACTTCTCGCTTGTTTCTCTTTTCCCACAGCCCGGCTGCCGAATTCATTGCCAAATCCGAACACTTGACAGGACATGATGGCTGGCCCAGAGGGCGCCCGAGTCGCCTCGCTCAGCAAGGCGCTGCTAACTGAACGAGCTTGGGGCATTCAGGGTGCAGGGCTTGAGGTTGTGGGATCAAAGGATTTGGTGTTTGGGGTCTATGGAACGTAGGGGATTAACGAATTCAAGGGGCAGGGGTCTTTATACAGTATCCGTGACTTCGAAAACTTTGCGTGGCCTTCTGCCAGGAGATTTCAAGTAAGACTGACGCATACACACATACTATGTATGTGCACACAGTTACGTAACTAGTATGCACAGACAGACAGCTTGGTAGACACGGAAATGACGTGATGTGCCAGATGCAAGCATGACTCTATGGGTCTGTATAGGAAGAGGCGCGCACACACACACACACACATGCACATGTACGTGCTGTACTTGTAGATGCGTCCATCCATCCATCCATCCATCCATCCATCCATCCAGACACGCAGACACGCAGATGTACATACACACATACAAGTACGTCGCCGCGTACCAGCATACATGCATACATGCGTGCATGCATGTGTACTATATTTATATACTCACATACCTACTCACTGACATACCTATCTACGTACATCCTGCGTATTTTTGTACATTTACATATATGCAATGATGAGTGCCTACAAGACTTGTCACTTGTCCATCTGCAGACACAGGTATGCATGTTGGCACTGTGCAGGCGTCCGTGCACTGAATTTAGAGCCGCTGCTCCGTCACCTCCGTTTCCACTAAGTAGCTTTTCAGGAATGTTCTGTGTGCATGAAGCTATCCGTGCGCGAGTACATTTGTTGCCATGCTTAGTATGCTCGTGGTTGCATTCAGTTTTGCCGTTGTTAATCCGGTGCAATTGTTGGCATCAATCGTGCTCTTGCTCTTGAGCCGCCCCTGCAAAAGTCCTGCGTAAGATCATGCGCAAGCACCGTGCTTCATCAGGTCATCCGTTTAGCAAGTAGTCCAGTCGGCGATGAACTCAACTTGCCGTCAGAGTCTCACTTCCAAAATCCAAAATCAAAGTCCCGTTAGCCCTCTTGGCAAAATCCTCCCGCCAACTAAGCCATACTAAACCCAAGCCCTGAACCCTAACACCCCAACGCCCTAAGCCCAGTCGTTGTTCTAGGGGGGCCTCTCCACAGCCTTGGAGAAGTTGGGGCTAGCTGCCGTCGCATCCGGTGAGGACTTTGCCATCGAAGTTGAGAGTTTAATATAGGGGCCTGAATCATTACCGATGCTTTTTGGGGTTCCTTACTGTAACTAGGGTATTAGGGGCCCCAAAACCCTATTCTAATTATTAAGACCCTTCTATGAGAGTTTAGGTTTTGGGGGTTTGCAGCTTTGGGTTTTGAGCCTCGGGGTTTAGGGCTTCTTTTGCTCGGTCTGTTGGAAGGTATGGCACTTCGGGCTCGGATGGAGGGGTGAGGTGAGTGTCCATTTGCAGACAGATCCTCGAGCCTTCTGCTCTTGCAGTTGAAGTGGATCCTCATTGCCATGATAGCTGTTCCTCAAAGCAGAGTTGACGTGAGGATGCAAAAGAAAGAAAGGCACCAGTCACTAATCCTCACAGTGAAGGGAATTTGTCAAGTTAGAGCGACCATGTCGGTGGGACCTATTGACGCCACGAGGAGGTGTCGGACCTGGCGAAGAAGATGCTGATGGTGAGGACAGTCATCCCCGGGACGTTGGGGGAAGAGCACGCCGGTCAGGGCTTTGAATGATCATTCTGGGCGTCCTAAGTTTAAGAAAGGAAGCAATCCCATGGGAGGAAAGTCCGGATCTTTCAGCACCTCTCCCGGGAACAGGTTAGCCACCTGGCCAAAGACCCGGAATCCGAATCTTACAAGTCGTTAGGGCTTAGGGCTTGGGAAGTCCGGGGTCCGTTTTCTCGTGAATGGGGCTCTCTGTGGACAGATGCCCTAAACCTACAAAGAAGGACTGTAGCTCATTATTACATCCACTCTCCTTCTGTCATGCTTGACTCTCCAACAGTCTCTGGATGGTGTCTGAATTTGCCTGGGCTCCAAGCCGAGAGAATCCTAAGCTTGATGCTCTCGATTTCTCGACCTTCAAAGATGAATGAATCCTACAAGGTTTTCAAGGAATTTGGGCTTCGCATCTCCTTCCCGTCATCTTACACCCCTAAGTCATAGGCCCCCCGGGGTGTCCATGTTCAGTGGGTCGGAGCCTCCCGATGCTGAGGTAAGCTGGTCCGATCTTTCGTGCTCCAGCACCACCGAAAAGGAGCACAGGCCCCTTCGCCGTCAGAGCTTTTGGGTATTGGAGGCCCTACAGTCCTACCCTCTACTATAGGGGCCTAAATGATTACCAATACTATCTTGGGGGTTCCTTATGATAATGGGCCCCTATATTGCACCGTCTTCACCTTTCCAGGGCAGCTGGAAGTTCTTCTGCAGTGGTTGGGTTCTTTCAAGGCCTTGAAACCCTAAGCCCCATTTCAAAGGACTCCTGGCCTAGAGAGCTTCTTCAATATGATCTGATGTAATTTCGTCTTTAATGTAGTGTCAATATAGTAGTGTATGGTATAGTATGATATAAAGTGTAATATAATATACATATATGTATGTATGTGTATCTATATATATATATATATATGTGTGTATATATATATATATATGCTTCTTCCAGGTGATCAAGCAAGGCGAGGTCGGGTCGTCCTTCTTCGTGATTGTCAGCGGGGAGGTCAACGTCACGATTGACGGCAAGCCGGGGCGCCCGGGGTAGAGAGGGCTGGACGTTCAGGCTTTAGGGGACGACATGGCCGTTGCTCCGATGGCTTCTATTCCTGATGAGGGCCTGCTCATTCCGGATTGAGTTTGCATTTCTTGTGGCTGCTGCCCTCACTGAAGGTGCTTCAGCTCTCTCGTGTCACGAATTGGGTTTACGTCGTGTTCGTAGCCAGTGTGTGCAGGAAAAGAAAGCGGGAGAGAGGCACCCGGGCCTGACCAACTCCTACAAGTCCGAATTAGAAAGAGCTTTCGAAGCACCACATGTAACGCTGACTGACGCCGTGAGGCCAGCGACTGCACGGCGCACGGCTCCACAGCAAGACCACACAAAATACGTCGTTGCTGAGTCCGTTGAGTTGTTAGTTCATCAGTCTCGTACGTGGTCACAACAACCCAAAGTGCGCTGTTTGCTCTGTGGTGTCGACGGTGTTGCTAGCGTTGGTGGTGGACGCTGGCGGTGGTGGTGATCGTGGCGGTCGTGGTGTTGTTGGGGGTGGTGCATCTATACAGATACGTAATTAGATGCAGTCTTCCCGAGTCCCAAGCCCTTGGCTCGAGCCGCCAAGGTTCATCCGAGTCATGTCTAAGAACTCCTACATTGGGGAGAGAGCGCTGCTCTTCGACGAACCACGTACAGCCACGGTGGAGGTGGTCTCCAGCGAGGCTTCCGATGTGTTGTTGCAGCTGAGCCTTTGAATTTTGCGGCTGTTGGTGGCAGCACCGACACCATGACCTGTTGCCCTGCTAGCTTTATGAGGTGTCGCTTTACTTTCGATAGGAGTTTTAGCGTCCATGTCTGTTCCGTTGGCATTCACCTAGTAACCTAGTACTGGTATTCAACACAGATGACAGAACTAGTGCTTGCATCTGTACGAACACGAGCATCGGCACATTGGGTTTCTACATGGTTCTACATGGAGCCACGTCTTTGGTGAAGTGTGCAGATGATTATGATTATTGTGGAGAGATGATGACGCGTGCGAGAGTCACTGGAAGGGGCCGGGGCAAGCAAGGACTCCAAAGTCTCCAAAGTCCATGAGCGCGCATAAGGCCCAGAATTGGTGCAGTTTAGAAGGCCTTCGGCCAGCAACACCCAGACCTTCGGAGGCGGAGTTCTGGTCCATTGAGAAGCACACCTTCACACAGACCCTTGGCTGAGAGCAGAAGGTTTCCTGGGGGCCCAGGTTTCTCTGTGCAAAGTCCTAGGTCGCAGTCGTAGCGCCGGGAGTGCAGGGGCTGAGCTGCGTGCCAGAGGCCCTGAAGCCTGAAGCCTCCATGGGCTCAGGATCGTGAAGGGGAAGATGCAAGCAGAGCTGATGCACCGGATCCGGCTTCAAGACTCATCTTTCGGTCTCAAGGCCTGGATTTGGGGCAGTGCTGGAACCAGTCGCAGTCGTCGTAGTCGTCATAGTCGCCCTAGTCTCCGTAGTAGTCGTGGTGGCAGTCGTACTTGGTAGCGCTAGTGCCGTTAGTGTCAGTTTTAGTTGCAGTCGCCGTCGCTCCGTCGCCGTCATCGCCGTCGTAGCAGTAGGACCAGCAGGACCAGTGCCGTAGTACTAGTACCAGCAGCAGCAGCAACAGCAGCAGCGCAGTAGTACTACCGATTGGTGAGTAGCAGAGTCACATCTAGTTAGTCAGTGCTACTTAACAGTCTAATTGTATCACTCGCTTGTAAGTAGCACTCGGCATACGAGATTCCAAAACTAGTCCAGGGGCCCAAGAACCCTTATTATGCTTATAGTATGATATGCCCCAAACCCTTCTTCTAAGTATTGAATCCCTTGCATGAAGGCCTTGTAGACTGGAAGCTCAACCTTAAACCCCGAACCCTAAACCCTTAACCCCTAAGGCACCCCTTAAGACTATCGTCTCCTTAGGTTTTTTCATTTTTGTTCATATAAAACCAAAGAGAATATTACACATGCTATTTTTATTTTATGGTTCTAAGGGGGGTATAGAAAAGACTGGAAGCCTCGACGAGGACCTGAGCCAAGTCTCCGTCATCGGGGCAGGAGCCGCGGGTGTCGTCCGCCTGGTGATCAACAAGGGCACCGGGACCAGGTCCTCGGATCAAAAAATAGTAGTGCTAGTACTAAGACTAAGTAGTACTCGTAGTAGAAATATCATGGTAATGGCAACAACGACCAGGTCCCCGGGCACCAGGAAGTAAGACTGCTAACAAGAGAATAATGGTAGCAATGGTACTAATACGAGTTCATACCAGCAACAAGAATAATCAGAGTAGTGCTAAGGAAACACTGATCCACAGAAAGGCCTGAACTCTGTTTGTTTGGGAGCTTTGGCGTAGATCCGAGAGCGCGATTTCCTAACAAGAGGAGTTCCCAAGCCTGCGCAGTGATTCCCATCTGTTCAGCAGCAGCAAGAAAAGCCAAGGAAGAAAATAGCAATGAGCTAAGCGCTAAGCCTCAGAAACAAAAAACCTGAGGCCATTGCCTGAGTAAGGCCTGGATAAGAAGCTGGTTGCCCAGCCCCAAAAGGGTCCAACTCTCTACATCTCAACTTTGTTTAAATACGTGAAGGCTGTCAGTCTCTAGACCCAGGCTAAGCGGCACAAAAGCCTTCCTTCCGGGGCTCCCAAAGCTGAGCTCATGCAGTCCATGACCGGTAGTACATGTGCCCATCTCTCAGGTATGCGCTGAAGCGCATTCGGAAGCAGGGTGGCAAAGTCCCCGAAGAGGCAGCCGGCCCCAGATCGAGACATGTGTCTGCAGGTTCGCATCATGTAGGTGATTTTAAGTGCTCCTTTTCATAAGCCCTGCCTTAACGTGCTGCTGGTGCCATATCATGCTCCAACATACTACTCATGGCCCGCAACAAGTCGGACGTCGACAACCCATGTGTTGATATGAAGTTGGTTAAACAAGGGGCCTAAATAACTACCATACTATTCTTGGGGAGTTCCTTTGTATTTGTATATATATATATATACACACACATAAACAAGGTATAATGGGCTCCAAAACCCTATTCTAATTATTAACGTCCTATATTAAATTTCTAAGTAGCCCTGCTGAGGAAAGGAGGGGCTTGCAATGCTGCATGTTGCTTGCTGATGTTGCTTTGTTGCCTTTGCAGAGTTTCCGTTACTTGCAAAACTAACCCTAAACCTTGGAATTCATCCTCATTGGGCGCTGCAGAAGCCGGAAGCTCGACCCTTCCCAGGGCAGATCCTTAGGACCGCACTCCGGCTGCCAGCATAATGTAGAGGACGTATTTTTGAATTAGTTTGAATGGGGTGTTGGGGTGTGCAGCGGGCCGAGCAAAACGAAGCAGAGTGCCAGGTAGGGTTTTGGGGGCATGTTGTAGTACCTTTGAAACAAGGAACCGTAATTACGGAAGACTATTGATTATTCAGGCCCTTAAACATGTTATTTCCATGAAAGGCCATAATTAATTGTATTAGAAAAGTATTGATAGTAATTCAGCCCCTACAGATCGGTCTCAGCGTGGTGCAGATCAACCCTTTCCCCGTTGGCACGATGGCACATCGAAAGCAACATCTCAAGGTTTCCATTGTCTTGCCAAGTGCTTAGACGGAATGAGTCGGAAGACAGGTGAACCGCGAATGCGGACTTCTGAAAGGCCTTGACCACCCGTTCATCATGGCGCTGGTGAAGACGTTCGAAACTGATAGGCCGGGGTTTCCATGAGGGCTCAGGGTCTTGAAGGCGATGGCTTGTCTGTGTATTTCGTGGGTGGTCTGTCCATGTGGGCTTATTGCCGTGGTTGACGAGCGATCATCGGAACATGGACAGTCTTCCGCTGCTCTTCAGCACTTTCCGTGTCTTGACAAAGAAGACGCTAGTGCCACCGACAGGCTCAGACTGAAGATGACTAAGAGGGCATTGTTTTTGTGCATGTGTTTAGGAGTGTGTACATCCTCACGGAGCTCATCACTGGTGGGGAGCTGCACGGCGCCATCCGGGAGATTTGGCTGCGCAGCAGGGTGCGGCTATTGTTCTGTCCACATGTTTATAACCCAACTTCGATTTGTCTACGCAATACAAACCAGACATCTCGACATCAGGCTTGACAGCGGTACAGGTTCATCCTCCTTGTATCAGTTTATGCTCCCAAGACGGCTGGACCACATCATTCCCCTCTTGTCGGCAAGAATGCTCGTCTCCGTCACTTGCTACACGACCCTCTACATGCACGTACGTGATGCGGTGCACATCTGTACACCAGACCAGGGGCACGATAAAGCAGTTTCTGCTTTTGCGTGAGAGGGATCCCTGTTGCTATATACTATGCTACCATATACCATATACCGTATACCATATACTATACTTTTTGCACTATACACTTTACTATACATACGAACTACTGTTTTACGTAGGTCACCGGCAGCCCGAAACGCATGGCCCTTTTCTGCTCCTCGAGCTCAGGAGATCCCCACGGTCCTTTCCAGGGCGCAGGCGCAGTTCTACACCGGATCGCTCGAGCTGCGGCCGCAAGGGGGGGGGGGCTGAGGGTAGTCTGGGTTCTTGTTAAGCAATGTAACCTTTAAGTTACCAAAAAATAGTTACACGAATAATAGCAATAGCAATAACAATTATAAAAGCAATAATAATAATGACAACAGTAATAATAGGGATCTATGGTAAATAATGTGGTTTACTTCTTATGCTAACTCAAGTCCCTCGACAAGAATCTAGAAGAGGAGGGCTGAGGGTAGGGCCGGAGTCCAGGGCTTCCTGAGGTTTAGGGGAGCAAGTACGAAGTACTGCAGCATACATAGTATAGACTTAGTGTAAAGTGTAAAAAGTATAGTATATATAGTGGTATAGCATACAGCATCCCCGACTTGATCCCAACCTGCTCTCGCGGCTTTGGGGTTCAGCTTGATCTGCAGGGTCCATGCGATGGGGCTCAGGCGGTTCAGGTCGGTTTAGGGTTTAGGGGGGTTTAGGGTTTCAGGTTTAAGGTTCAGGTTTCTTGACCCTTGGTTGTCAAGTGTGGCTAGAGGATGCTTTACGTGTGGAGCTGGGGCGCGCGCTCCGGATGCTGGGGTGGGGGTTATCGGTTCAGAGTCCTACATTTTGGGGTTCTGGCTGGGCTTGGTCAGATCCACGCTGCCAATGGGTCTTCCCACCATTCCAAAAATCACGAGAGCCAGCTTTTCACTATCCGTTCTGGGTTGAGGATGCCAGCAGGTGAGATAGTATCTTGGCCAGGGCTTGCAAGCCCGAAACTCACAAGCCCGAACCCCAAACCCCGACAAAAAGCCCTGAAGCCGAAACTCTAAACCCGAAGCCAACAACTTCAAGGTGATTGTCCTGGAGGAGCTGTCAGAGCAGAGTGCCCTGGGTTCCACAGTTCTTCGGAAAGCCTGCGTCCATGATATCAAGAGCTCAAGGGCATGGGGTCTAAGGTTTGGGTGTACGGATGAGTGTTTAGGCTTAGGCTCCAGGGTTTAGGCGACTTTCTACTTGAGGCTCCTTTCATGTTCGAGGGACGGGCCAAGAGTTGAACAGCTGCCGGCTCGTAGGGATCATCATAGAAAAGGGTTTTGAGGCACATTGCACGATCGCATGCAATGAGGAATTTACTGCCACACTATCACCCTAGGCCGGCCTAACCCCCCTAAATCCCGCAAACCCTAAACCCCAAACTGCTAATGTAGGAGGCTGATTAAGAAACCTTGGGCATTTACTGGGGTTCCTTATGTGAATCCTAGTATTTTGGAGTTTTTAGGCCCAGGGTTTCTGAATCAGGTTCCTACATTATTGCTAACTTCAGGTCCTAGGTAGCTTCGTCCTTCCGGCTGTAGACACGGGAAGAGGATTCCTGCGTACCGAAGTCCCGGAAATTGAAATCCCAAGCCCCCTAGCACGTGAAGGCCCAAAAGCCCCAGAATTTCCTGGAATAGCCTCTTTCCCCCCAAGCCCTCACCCCTAAACCGTCAATCCTAACCCGGAGGCCTTAAACGCAACCCAGGAATCGTCTACCGGGACCTGAAACCGGAGAACGTCATGCTCGATTCCCAAGGTCAGACGGGCCTTGGGTTCGGGGTTTAAGGTTTAAGTTCAGGGTTGAGGGGTTTAGGGTTTGGGGTTTAAGGTCGAGGCTTTTGGGTTTGGGGTTTACTGCACAGGGTTTCTGGTTCAAGGTTTGAGTTTAAGCAGCATCGGCTGTCGGCATAATCTGCCACTTGCCTGGCTGGTCTTAGTGTCACCCCGATGTCGACGGTGATGGTTGTCTGCATTCCGCATGGCATCATGAAATAGTAAATGGTAGCTACGCTCGGCTTCTGCTTGTATTACTACATGTTGGCGCCACTATGATCAGCGATAGGCAGACAGGATTGCCGGATTGGCAGTTCTGTCCGACCTGGTATCCGAGAGACAGACAGCCCTTGGCAGGATATCTGAAGCTGATCGACTTCGGCATCGCGAAGAAGATGGCTGAAGGACTGGCCTGCGGCATAAGAGAACCAGGGAACTACTACTACTACTACTACTACTACTACTACTACTGCTACTACTACTACTACTACTACTACTACTACCACTGCTACTACTACTACTACTACTACTACTACTACTACTACTACTACTACTACTACTACTACTACTACTATCTACTACTACTACTACTACTACTACTACTACTACTACTACTACTACTACTACTACTACTACTACTACTACTACTACTACTACTACTATCTACTACTACTACTACTACTACTACTACTACTACTACTACTACTACTACTACTACTCCTGCTATTGCTACCTGCCGCGTGCCACCTGCCACTGCTACTGTTATTGTGCTGATGGTACACTAATGCTGATGAAGATACTCATGTTGATACTATAGCGAAAGCTAATTTCAATATAAGTGCCAATGCTAATGCCAACACTCCGCTGCTGTTCGTATGAGCACAAGCCTGTTCCAGCACGAGCAGCAGCATGCACCAGCCAGTGTGGATGAATCTGCCCAGCTTTCATGTCATAAGTGTAAAGCAGCCATCGCAAGGAGAGACACGCACCTTCACGATGATCGGAACGCCGCACTACATGGCTTCCTTGATGAAATTCGCCATTCACGTTTGAAGATGCGGGTCAGGGGGTCACGGGACAAGAGTCGCGGCTTCGGCAGCAGTCTCTCAGAAGCTCGTTCATGTTCCCATCTACAAGTATGTCGAGATCTCCAACATCTTGCCTTTGGTTTCGAACGTTGCATACACTTTCTCATGTTTCTTTATGGCTCAGGATCCACACTGGCTTCTCAAGCTACTACGTTGTTTTCATCAAACAAAAGAGCTTTGCGAGTGGAACCCGATCGGTGCACCTGAACCTCATGCTGCCCTGCTGCTGCTGCTGCTTCTCCCGGCCATAGAACACCGTTGTTGTTGCTGCTGCCGAACCCTAAACCCTAATCCGTGGAGTCGTACGCATCTGAGACCCTGCACCCCTTAAGCCTTCATCTAAAGCCCTCATAAGTTTCACTATGAGCTACTGCCTTCACAAGAAACGATGATGAGGCTCCGGAGGTCATGAGAGGCCACGGCTATGGGACGGAGGCCAGAACGGATGCAGGGAATGCGTGATACATATATATATATATATATCTGTTGATGTGTATACATATATATATGTATATATTCAAGTTTTTGTATACGATTGACGGGTACTGCATGTGTATATATGTATACATAACACGCATATGTGTATATACAGCTAGGTGGTGTAAAACACATACACACACCGACACACACACACACACACTGTATACATATATATATATATATGTATGTATATTCAAGTTTTTGTATACGATCGACGGATACTGCATGTGTATATATGTATATATAACACGCATATGTGTATATACAGCTGGGTGGTGTAAAACACATACACACACCGACACACACACACACCAACACACACACACATACACGATCACACACATACACGAACGATACCGTATGTGTGCACACGCAACACTTGCATAAGTACATGCGTACGCATGACATGTCTAATGCATAATGCAGATGAAGTTGTACGTTAAATAAGAACAAAGATATGATTTGACTGAATCATCAGTTTAGTTGTTTCATGCCTATCTGTGTACACACACACGTATACAGATGTGTGTATGTATGTATGTATATATACATATATGCACATATATAATATGTGCCTGGCTGTCTCTCTCTCTCTCTCTCTCAGACTCTCTTTTCGCTTGAATGTTCGTCTTCTGAGCCCAGCAAGCTTGCGGTGACTAACAGTCAGACCTAGGAATGTTTCGGGAGAAGGGTTTCCATGGACTCTTTCCAAGTACCCACAGTGTGGAATAACAGAATTGACCATGGGGGAAGCTGCAAAGGCTTGTTTTCGGTTTCTGCGTAAGTCGTAACATTGCCTCCTTAGAGTCCCTACATGTCCATACATACTCCTAAAGTAGCATATCCCAACAGCCTGTTCTACGTAGTAGGGCGGTGGCAGATTTGCACTGCGACGATGCTTCTGTTGAATCCAGGCGGACCTCTGGTCTTTGGGCATCATGCTCTTTGAGTTCGCCACTTGGCTTGAAGAGCACGCGGGTCCTTTGTATTTTGAAGGTGCAGCCGCCTGCATCCAATTTCCGGTTCCATATGCTGAGAAGAACCGTGTTGGGTTTAAAGTGATATGTGGCGGCAAATTACTCAGCATCGCCCAACTGACATTCCTGGCCCAACTCTCACACTTCTCGTCTATGCGTTGAACGTCGCCTCTATATAGATATATATATATATACACACACATGAAGTGGTGGGAGTTTACAACATCATTCTACTGATGCCTTGACGGGAGCTTGAGAGGAATTCCATAGTCAAATACGTGCTGGAGTTCACGTACATAACAAACCGACATGCAGACCTTTGTTTATGTATGATGTGTTCCAACATATGTCAGTGTATGTCAATGCATGTCAGTCAATGTATGCATGTATGTATGTAGGTACCCACACGTACATATGTGAGTAGGTATGTATGAATGCATGTTTACATATGTTCGTATGAATGCATGCACGGACGCATGTAAGTTTAAGTAGTGTAGTGTAGTGTAATGTGATGCAATGCGATGCAGTGCAAGGCAGTTCAATGCAACGTAATGTATGGTATGGTATGTATGCAGGTGGGTATGTATGTATGCGTGTTGGTGTTTATGCATGCATGAATTCGAGCACGGGCAGATATGCGACGAGACAGAAGGAAGCAACTATAGAGACCGAAACAAATGAATATGGACACATAGAGACAGAACGGCATAGCAACGGAAGACTGCCATACATTGTATGTGCATACGCGCGCGTGTGTGTTGACGTGTCTGTATCTTAGCTGTCTTGACTGGTACACACACACACGAGCAAGGATCAGGCTGATGACAACAGCACATACTGCTAGCAGCAACCTCATTGATAATATCACATCGCAGCATTGTTAACGCGCGGAAGCTTTGGACAGTAGGGGACCCCAAAGTTAGACATCAAACGGATCCTTAATGTAAGGACCTGCAAGAAGGATCCCTTGGTTTAAGAATCCCCCCTCGCTCTTTTAGCGCTCTTAGCCCTGGTCTCGGGATTTCTATGAAACCATTCGGGCTTTTCTTGTTCCGGCCCTGTCCTTGCAGTTTGAGTCGTCGGGTTTAGGATCCTTTTTCTGCTGAATTACAGTTCATGATGGGTTTCTTAATGAGACAGAACGAGTTTCGGAGCAGCCGAGAACGCGGATCATGCCGGGAGCTGTTCCATCCCAGTGTAGTGGAACTTGCTCTGCGCGTTTGAGGTATGTGGCTACCTGCCTTATGCAGATGAGCTGGATGACCCAACAGAAGTCTGCACTTCAGCGGCCCGGCAGTGAAAGCGTTTAAGCCTGCAAGGTTTACGTAGGAGTTCAGGATTTAGGGGTTTGGGGCAAGATAGGGAAAGGAAAGGGAAACTTAGACTAGTGCTTATGACCTGACAACATTTGTCATGCTGGAAGATATCATGTCCGCCAGTCCGCCATTGCGTTGGCTTGCACAGAAAGCGGATGAGGACATGTGAAGATGTAGCACAGTGGTCGGAATCAGATTCTGCTTTCTGTTAGACTTTATATACCCAAAAGCCTTGTTCTCAAGATTAATAAAGGCAGAACTCATTGTCTCTACTGTAATGCTTGCTAGGCATGGACTGGGAGGCAAGGGTTTCATGGACCGGCAGTAGATGCAACACACTTGGAAGCCAGGAGGACTCTGGGCAGAGTTGGCATCGGTTTGCATACTTCTTCTGTCATGTGTATTTCAATGGTCCATTTCTTCGGTCGTTGCTCAGTGATGTGCAGTGAGCTGTCTATGGACATTGCTGTCCTTGCAGCGCCGCATGGTCAGAATCGGTAATTTCATGGTTGAAACCGCATGTCTCTGGCACTCAAGACCAATGGGTGGCCTGTCCACATGAGGAAAAGGGCGACGGAGTTGGTTCAGGAGAGCGGGCATACTGCAGTAAAGCTATCCCAAACAGGCCCCAGCCGCCCAAGACGGCCGAAAGAAACCCGAGGCCCCTTACCCAGTCCCCGCCGAGGTACTCAAGGATCCCCTCGTCTTCCCGCAGCGTTTTAAGGACGCCGCTGCCCGGACCTTGATACAAGGCGGGAAAGTGATGAGCCCGGAAAGTCCGATGTAAACTTAGAAAGCCTACATAGTGACAAAACTATTCCGAGGGTTCCGTACGATAGGCATAGTAACGGGCCCCAAAACCCTATTCTAAAGCCATCAGAACAACTCCGAAACAGAACATCCCGCTGTCTGCTGTGCAGGGCTTCTGAACCGGCAGCAGAAGAAGCGGCTTGGGGTGGGCTTTCGGGCCTGGGATGCTCGGCCAGACCTCAAGGGCAGCCATATGGCACCCTAAGGGTATATCACGCATATTTCGCAAACTATATGTTCCACCAAGTACTACGTGAGAGCACTGACCGCCATTCTCAACTTATGTTTCTTGCTGCTTGTTGCTTCCTGTTCGTTACTGGTCCTTCGGAATCTGCGAAGACCACACAAAACACTAGCAGCATCGGAACAGGACACATGCTAAGCATTCCGGCTTGTATGTCGTGTTTCGTGGGCTCCGTGGGTTGCTTTCGCAAAACTACGCGCAACCTTAAATACACACGTAGGTACCGTACTCATCGTCTTGTTCTCTGTGCATCACTCGTGCAGACCGGGAGCATGTCGTTTCTTCAAAGGGATGTTCAGTTGTACGGCAGAGAACTCCCGATCTTTCCAAGGAGGACATCAAAAGTGCGGACTTCTTCACACTCGGCCATGACGAGGAGGGGTGCTGCAGTGCTGTCGTAAAATTAAGGACCTGTTGCGAGATGCTTGCTGAAGCTTCTGCATGCAGATGGTGTGAGAACTCACTCAGACCACCTTTCCAGATGAAGAGATTTGATGCACGTGTCTTCCCATTTTGCTCTGGTGATGGGTTGATCGTTGCCGTACCACACATCTGTATGGAGCTTCGAGGTGTCTCTTTTTGACAAAATCCTGGGCCGCGACCTGGATCCTCCTGTCCATCCACACGGGGAGACGCATCACAGCTTGAGTTGACCGAACTTTCGCATTGCCTGGAAGCGTTCTCCGGACAAGCCAGCTCGGAAGTGTTGCTGCTTTTGCTCAGACTTGAAAGTCGCTTGCGCTGAAAGTTCCAGAGCGGCTGGTGCCAGCAGAGGTATTGTGATCCTTCCGAGCTGAACGTCACTCTGAGCGATAATGATGAGTTGGGTTAGACTGATGCATGCCCTGAGAGCTTGCCACTGGCCCCGGCATTCGGTGCCGAGTTGATCTCGCACTATAAGTCTGCAATGAACGTTCCTGGGTGCCCTCAGAGAGCCATGCGCTTCGGAACTGTCATTCTGAAATGTCATGGAGATCAATCGCTTTGCTGATAGCATGCTAGTAGAACCCAGCTAGAGGCCAAAAAGCAACCGGAGTCTGTATTCCCTTGAACCGATGCCAGATCTTTCCGAGTTCCAGCGACGAACTCCATGACATTCGCAGCGACCTAGAAATCTCGGTCGGAAAAAACCCTAAACCCTGAACCCCTAAACGCCCAAACCCTAGAAATCCCGTCGAAACAGCGTAGGCAGCAGCACCACAACCCACAAAGATGTTGCGCGGGGTCTAGGCCGCAATGCCCTTTTTACCTGCAAGATGCTGGCTGCAACCCCAACCCAGACCCTAGTATGCTTGATCGGTTCTCCCAGACCGCAAACCATGCCCACAATCTCAAATCCTAATGCCCTAAACCCTAAGCTCAGGGCAGGGCCAGCAATTCCGGGATTTCTTGAGGTTTCAGGGTTGCCTGGACCTTTGTCACACCAGCGTCGAAGAGAAAAATCTTCTCTGCAATCATTTTAGTGTGGAGCTCCACCGTGCTCGTGATACTTAGCTTCCGTTTATCTGCACTCGTGACCTTCTATGAGTCTCTCTGTAAATTATTGATAGAAGGGCAATCCGGGCCAGATCTAAGGCATAATGATCCGAAATTGGCCACTTCCTGATCGTTTCATAATTGTTCACCTTCGATCGGGACTCTTTGGTCTTTACTAAGATAGTGACGAACGATCATGACTATTTCATCAGATATAGAGTATGTCGCGATTATCATTGCACAAGCCGGTCTCTCGAATACTACTACGAAGAATTGTGATATAGCTAGTATCTTTCGTATATTCGTTCTTGCGATTCTTTCTTATTGTGGGAATTGGCTATTGAACGAAAATAGCACGGTCTCTAATCATATCCGAGAAGTAAATAATTTAACGTTTAGAAGAGATCTCATATCTTGTTACTATCATAAAGATGGCGGTTGATG